CCCCAAAACCCCAAAACCCCAAAACCCCAAAACCCCAGATTTGAATATTCTATTGAACCTTTCTTCTTTAATTATGTCAAAGTTTTAGTGCCTTCAATAAGAATTGTGCAGAGGAAAGTGCAGATACAGGCCATCACAAAGACCAGAATCAGGGGATTATCGAAGATCTCAACAGCCATGGGCGAGAATATAGACACCAGTCCTGCTAAGATATTGCATCCTCCGTAGACCACTGATGCGAAGTTTGCGGGAAATAGCTCATAGACAATGTAGAAGTTTAGTCAACTTTCAAGTGTAATAGCGAACCTGATCAAGAAGATCACTGCCATGCTGATGTATGCAATGTTGTTAGAAACAAAATTGCTCATGTCAAAGTTCTCTCCTGTGTATGCTGGGTCTACAATTCCATCGTTGTCGTAATAATTAGTGATAAAAGAGATGGCAACGGCTATACAAATGAATCCGTGTGTCAGGATCATCGCCTTCTTGGTTGGCAGAAGTGCCATTAATACACCGCTCAGAACTGAAGGGATGAAATCAGCGAGCCCAATGAAAAATAGGTTCCAGTACTTGTCTCCTGGAAGGTACTTTACCATGAAGGAGATCATGTACATACTGAAGACATTAAACATGTACACGAAAATGGTGACTCACATGTTGGTAAAGAGCTTGAAGTTTGTAAACAGTTCAAGGAAGCTCTTGGATTCGCCATCTTTCTCTTCAATTACTTGGAGATGTTCCTCTGCTTTAAATCCTGCTAGCCCATGCAGCTCGAGTTCTTCCTGGAAGGGGAGCTTCTCGTACTTGACTCCGTTGATCTCAGCTATCCTAATAAGTGTAGATCTGGTTGCATTGTACTTCTTTAGAGAGAACAAAAATTTGGGAGACTCAGGAAGCAGAGGAATGAAAATGAGGGAGTATCCTAAAATAAAAATTGAGGAAAGCAGGAAAAATGTCGCATCTCTTCCTCCAAAAATAAAGTATAAAGCCATCAAGCTTGACAAGGAATTGTTGATAGACATTATGATTGTTGCAACTGGTTTGCATCTCTCTTCATCAAACATCTCCAGGGTGTATAGGTATGATATTGATAGTCTGGTGTACATTCCAACACCTTTGAAAAACAGAGATGTGAGCACTGAGGTCCAATTTGGAAAGAAATATATCCATATACTTCCAATGAGTGAGACGACAACTCCAATGATATGGACAGGCCTTCTTCCATATATATCTGAGACAGGGGATAGTACAAGTGCTCCTACAAACATCCCAACGAATATGGCTGATCCGATCATGCCGATTTTCCATTCAGGGCTTCACACGATATCGAGATCTTGGACCCAATTTTTCAAACTGTACTTATCATCGTCAACAAGTGCGTATTGGACTCCTGGGGTGCACGCTTGCTCTTTCTCGCATGCATGCCACTCAGAATCAGTGAGACACATTATTGGAGGGACTAGCTCAAGGAAAGGTGATGCAAAAACCATGAGTTCAGCTCAAGCAAAGGACATCATTATTGAACTAACAATGATGACAAATAAACTATTGCCTCTTATTTTAGTCATTTCTCTGTCAAGAGTGGCTCCAGGTCTTCTTGCAGCCTCTGAGTTACCATCTTTGCCGTTAAAGGTCAGGATCTTATTGGGAGTAGGACTGAAATCTGAAGTGTGCTCATGGTCACCAAGAATATTCTCGGATTCCCTATTCTTCGGTTCTATCTCCATTTTGGGCAACTTTATTATTCAGAATACTCTTCTAATATGGGGTTTTGGGGTTTTGGGGTTTTGGGGTTTTGGGG